TCTCACTATGGGTCTTTTTTTGTCACCAAGGGTCTTTCTTTTGTCACTATGGGTCTTTCTTCTGGCACTATGAGTCTTTCTTTTTACCACAGGTCTTTCTTTTGTCACTATGGGTCTTTCTTCTGGCAATATGAGTCTTTCTTGTTACCACAGGTCTTTCTTTTGTCACTATGGGTCTTTCTTCCGTCACTATGGGTCTTTTTTGTCACCACATGTCTTTCTTTTCTCACAACGGGTCTTCCTTCTGGCACAATGGGTCTTCGTCTAGTACTGTCGGCCTTTCTTCTGTCACAACGGCTTTTTATTTTGGTACTATGAGTCTTTCTTGTCACCACAGGTCTTTCTTTTCTCCCAACAGGTCTTTCTTCTGTCAGAACGGGTCTTTATTCTGGCACTATAAGTCTTTCTTGTTACCACAGGTTTATCCTTTTTCACTATGGGTCTTTTTTTGTCACCACAGGTCTTTCTTTTTTCCCAACAGGTCTTTCTTCTGTCAGAACGAGTCTTTATTCTGGCACTATAAGTCTTTCTTGTTACCACAGGTCTATCCTTTTTTTCACTATGGGTCTTTTTTTTTGTCACCACAGGTCTTTCTTTTCTCCCAACAGGTCTTTCTTCTGTCAGAACGGGTCTTTATTCTGGCACTATAAGTCTTTCTTGTCACCACAGGCCTTTCTTTTGGTACTATGAGTCTTTCTTGTTACCACAGGTCTTTCTTTTGTCACTATGGGTCTTTCTTCCGTCACTATGGGTCTTTTTGTCACCACATGTCTTTCTTTTCTCCCAACAGGTCTTTCTTCTGTCAGAACGGGTCTTTATTCTGGCACTATAAGTCTTTCTTGTTACCACAGGTCTATCCTTTTTTTCACTATGGGTCTTTTTTTTTGTCACCACAGGTCTTTCTTTTCTCCCAACAGGTCTTTCTTCTGTCAGAACGAGTCTTTATTCTGGCACTATAAGTCTTTCTTGTCACCACAGGCCTTTCTTCTGGTACTATTGGAGAACGAATCAGCGAGGTTTCAGTGTTATATAAAGACCTAGATATATATACAACGTTCCATTCAGACTGACAGGGTCCAGCGCGTCAACAGGAAGTCCTCCCCTCCATTCCTGATAAAACTTCCTCAGAACAACACCGGATATAGCGTCATTAGCATTGTACTTTCTCCGTCAGATTGTTAGACAAAAATAACCTGCATCGTGATATTCATAGTAGTCTGTGACCATTTGTACTGTTTATTTTGGAAGTATTTCACGTTCTATCAGAAATAAATACACCGTTGTATAGTTCCATTCTCTACATACAGCCGGCCTATTGTTTACTTATGTTGCCTCTACAGACTTCTGTATTTATTGTCTTGTCCTTTTAGTGAAAGAACTGTACTCGAAGTTCTGGGGAAAATGTGTGAAATTTTTAAACTTACATAGAAGCATCTTTCCATAGTTTCACACCAAAAGTAAACCTTCAAGTACAGACTATATAGTCTTATGAGAGTTTGCAGCTTTGAAGGGTAAATCGACCTTTATTTCCTCTGAAATACATGCTAATAGGTACAACTTCCTTAAGTTTTGTCCATAAATGTATATACATGGAGTCATAACCTGCTTCCTACCACGGTTATCATGGTCTTGCACTACATGTGTAGACATTTGGTGTACTTACAGTAATAAGGACTCATTCCTCTACCCATGATTATCATGGCCTGGTACTCCGCAAGTAGACATGTGGTGTACTTACAGTGCATGTAGTTACAACCTGCTTCCTACCACGGTTATCAGAGCCTGGCACTATATATGTAGACATTGGTATACTTACAGTAATAAGGAATCAACCCTCTCTCTACCCATGATTATCATGACGTGGTACTACATGTGTTGACATGTGGTGTACTTACAGTACATGCAGTCACAACCAGCTTCCCATAAAGAATATCATGGCCTGACACTACATATGTAGACATGCGGTACACTTACAGTAATAAGGAATCAACCCTCTCTCTACCCATGATTATCATGACGTGGTACTACACGTGGTGAGATCACAGTACAATAGTCACAACTCCACCATAGCTATGAAGGATGACAAAACAGATGTACTATAACCTGGGCTACAGCCACCTATATGACACCACTCTCACTCAGAATGTTACAAAGAAAGAAAAACCTTGGAACACCAGATCGCTACCTGTGTGAAACATTTCTACAGGCAGGTGACTAATTACAACAGCAGGTACAAGCGTATCTTCCGTTTAATTAAAACTTGGAGAGAAGGCTGATCGACTCTCCTACAACACAGCTTCGGTGTTATATTCTTTTGTATGGTAGTCTTAACAGCCAACAGTGACTTCTTAAATGGAAATTAAACCGATTTATGTACCTTTCAAAACTAGCAAACACACCTTTTAATGGCTATGAGAATTAGTGAGAAGACGCTATAAGACTATAAACCTTACATAGAATGGCTTGTAAAATACACTCATGGACAAAACTTAAGGAAGTTGTACCTTTCAGCATGTATATATCGGGATTCAGACAATAACTCTGAAACCACTCTGACACACCAGATAACCAAGTTGTAATAACACAAAATTGCTTCTGTCTCCTTAAAAAAAAATATATATAATAAAATAAATACATTTAAAAATCATTTGCCTCTGCGCGTATCTCTGTAACTTGCAATCCTAGCCGTACAATAAACCTTTATCAACGTCTTTTCTAAAAAAAAAAAAGGATACTAAAACATTGTTAGTAAGTTAAGAAAAAACCAACAGCCCGAAATGCGTACGTGGTTAGCTTTTCTTGATTAATCAAGAATAGGTATTCTGAAATAATTAAAAATCAATGAATAGTTGATATTTATTCCGATAGATGGCTCAAACCATCAGCAACATTCAGTTGCATGATAAGGAGATGCCTTTTTATTAATTTATTAACTTTATCCCAGTACAATGTCACATTTGTACTATTTTTTTCACATTGTTATTGTCACATATTTGTTTAAAGTTTTGAGAGATTATGTAAATATGGTAGAGAATATATAAAAGGAAGCGGTGGTCATGGCCACGTTCTGGCAGATCTCTGGCATAGAGATCCAACATGTCCTCACTGCCGGGAAGATTCACAGACTGTGGATCACCTCCTCTTCTCCTGTCCAGCTTTTGTACTACACATACTACAGACAGTACTTGGAGTACAAGACTTCAGCCCTGCCTCTACTTCCTGACTCCCTGCCAGCCTGGAACTACTTGGTTACCTGGTTCACCTCAGCAATCTGCCATCCCCATGACTAGACTTCTCCTCTAGACTGTAACTGTACAGCCCGGGTACTTGGTGATTTACGCTCCAGGAGACCGGGTTACCTCTATTTTCTCTCTCTCTCTAAAAGGAAGTTTTTTTTTTTTTTTTGGGGGGGGGGGGGGGGGGGGGGGGAAGAGTATCGAGCAATAAATGAGATTTTTCAATTGTTTCTTAGCGTGATGCTACAGTTAGTTAGATAATAATATATTATTGAAGCCAAACCTCTGGAAACTGTTCATTTTACAAACCCATTCGTTATAGTAATATAATTTTATTCTTGATCGAACGTTGTGGCCCATTGTACGTATTACATCCCAAACACGACGCCAGTCATCTCTGTCATACAATGGGCGGGAAAAGGAATTCTATGGTAGAGTCCACAGACCTGCTGGGACTTACTCACGCCTCGGGAGAAGCCTTCACGTTTTGGACCAGGAACCAGACGTACTGCTTACATTCGCTAAAATAATTCAATAACATCACAGTCAATACGGCCGGTCCCAATCCCGGATGAAAAAGGAGGAGGGGAAGCAGTAACAAGCTCACTAAAAAACCTGGACTCAGCTGGCCCGGCTGATAGTACCCTGTAAGGGCTCCTAATCCAAGGATACAGGATGAGTAGCGTTTGTACTCCATGTTAGGAGTGGCTGCACATGGCGTCTGTTCCTCATGTCAGAGGCGGCCATTTTTTTGGAGTTAAGTCGGCCTGTCACTGAGTAGTGCTCCCAGTCTTAATGACAAAGGCATTCTACTTCACCCAGTGTGGAGATAAGAAAGAAGAAGAACTCCACGGTCACTAACCACAGATTTCAATATTTTGGTATGAGCACACGTGGCATAGATAAAAGTGTCTGGCTATAAACGAGGAAAGATATCTTCAGATGGATAAGAGAAAGAGAGTCCATCTGGAATTCTTGGAATTGATCAGGTGGCTTATCTTCAAGGTAAACGCGGCTATCATCTCAGAGCTATGCAAATATCTTGCCAGACGATACGACTACATTCTTCTTGGAGGTAGGTCTTTGTACCTCATCTAAACCTAACCACTTAATTTAATTGTTTTAAAATGTTGGTCATTTATTTTTCGGGTAAACTATACTTGTATTCCTTCCTAAGCTTGGACATATCGAAAAAAAATAGGTTTGGAGACTGCACGCTTCTATAAATACATTTAACACATTTTTGATACCTATGTTTAGTATTATTATTATATAAGGAAGTCTTACGCGGATCAAGCCTTTTTTGGTCGTTGATGTACAGCTTGCATCTCGCTGACGAGAGCCAACAGCCCGAGACGCGTACGTGGTTGGCTTTTTTTCCTTGATTTTTCTAAGAAAATATGTTGGCCAATCTAAAACGGCTTATTCTGTATCATATTATATAAAAAATAAAATATTTTATCAATTTTATAATCCAATATAAATATATCAAAATCTATAAAAAAAAATTATATATATATTTTACTTAGCTCTATTTAAAATACGACTTAATTCAACCTTTTCTTTGTCGAAGTATATGTTTTGGCCGGATTATAGAAAATGTTTTTAGTGTCTCTATATTTGTCTTTATCAATACTGATTACTCATTCCAATTACGGAGTCCCGTAAAAAAAAAAAAGAAGGTTCCACCGAGATTTGAACTCGGATCGCTGGATTCAGAGTCCAGAGTGCTAACCATTACACCATGGAACCACTAATACCAAATGCTTACAACACCTGGTGTATTTAGATGAATTTTTTTCCAAGTACTGATTGACTTTGCTTAACTTCGGTGAACGGATGAGAACCGGTGATTTCAACGTGGTATGGCCGTAGGAAAACTGATCGGGGTTAGCTTGTCTGTTTTATTTATATGGGAGATGGGAAGATATATTTTTTGCTTATCCCTAGTACACGTGGTACAGGCCATGATAATCATGGTGGGTAGAAGTAGGCGACTGCTTTTACTGTAAGTGTACAACATGTCTACACATGTGAAGAGCAGTTCGACTTTGCACTTACAAATGTGCCAGAGCCCCGTTTGGTTACTTGCACTCGCTGGTGGGGTTGGACTTTTGCAAGAATCGGGGGCCATTAGAGCATTTTTTTTTTTTCAATTAGAAAAAAGGTGCTCAATGCGGGAATCAAACCCGGGTCGTAGCTGTCGAACACCAACGGTTTAGACCAAGGGTGGCGAACGTGCGGCCTTAAGGCCGCATGTGGCCTTTTCTTGCCCAAGTTGTGGCCTTTTCTTAAAATCAAAACTATAATTTTTGTTTCGCAGTTTTCAATTACTTCATTATATTATTGAAAATATCCAATACGAATGTCATATATTATATAATATATATAATATTTATATATATAATATATATATAAATATGCGGCCTTCTCAAAAATGGTAAAATGAAAATAGGCCTTCTAATATAAAAAGGTTCGCCACCCCTGGTTTAGACCATCCCGCCATCAACCCCCCCTGGAAGATGTTTCGAAGTCTTTTTATCCAAACCTCTCTTCTCTATGTGAAAAAAAAAAATCCGCTCAATTCTGATTGGCTCACTATCAATAGCCAATGAGAAGAACACTAAAGGTATTAGTAAATTACCCATTTATAAATTTTATTGCTATATATCTATAAAGTTTGTAATATATATATATATATATAAAAAGGCATCTCCTGATTGCGTGCAAATAGAGGTTTATGATGGCTTGCATCATCTGTTGGAATAAATATCAACTGATCGTTGCTTTTTTAATGATCCCAGAGTTTTCCAAATACCCATTCTTGATTAATCAAGAAAATCTAACCACGTACGCGTTTCGGGCTGTTGGCCCTCATCAGCGTGGTACAAGCTGTACCTTTTTTGTCAAAGTGTTTCTTTTTTACTTATATCATCAAATATCATCTCTACAGACTTTACTGCAATGATATGAGTTATTGAATGAGAGAGATTAGCTCATCAATGGTGAAGCCTCTCAGCGTTTTCGTTAAATTAACCTCGAGACCGCTCTACTATTGTATTGGATTGGTTTTCTTATCAAACAGTATAATATGTTGTTTGCACGTATAAATTTACTGGCAATGCGCTTCTTTTAAATATCATCAAATATTATATCTACAGACCTTACTGCAATGATATGAGGTATTGATTGAGAGGGCTCTTATATCATTGCAGTAAGGTCTGTAGAGATAATATTTGATGATATTTAAAAGAAGTGCATTGCCAGTAAATTTATTTGTGTAAAATTTTAACGAAAGATGGCAATTAAATTTAATTTACCAGTATATAATATAGATATAATATATATATAACAAGAAAGATATGTATCATTATTGGTTTCCAATAACCCTACTGAACGAGAGAATCACTATAACTGTCTATAATTGTAGACTCATCAGTTCCAGAGAGACGCTAACTTCTCTACTATATTTCTTCTGTTTGGAATATTGAGCAGACTTCATCTATTCTGTAAGCACCTCTTCGGTCAATGTGTCTCTTTCGTATTATATTACTGTACTGGTAGGGTCACCCTGTGCTACACACCCGGCTAATGTAGGTTTCGGGCTAATGGCCCTCGTCAGTCTAGGGCGGACTTTATTCCATGAGATCCACATGGGATCTAATGGAATCCTCGCAATCTACCAAAGAGGTGTTTTGCAGGCAATGTGGCTGGGTCAAATCTATTGGATATGGATTAATTTCCTTCCGGCAAAATTTCCATCTATGTTTTGCCAATAGATTTGGCCCACCACATTGCCAGCAAAACACCTCTTTGGTAGATTGCGAGGATTCCATTAGATCCCATGTGGATCTCATGGAATAAAGTCCGCCCTAGACTGACGAGGGCCATTAGCCCGAAACCATGGTCTCTAGGTGGACGCTTATCAGTTTTCCAAAGTTGGTGTTGTGGCTTTGTCACCGACCCGAGGCCGCTAGTTGCAGCGACGGTCAATAGATGGCGTCAGATTCTGACGTTTATTTTGACGGGAGAGGCGACCATTGCTTCTATAGATATCTCTATTTTCAAAGCATAGAGTTTGTTATTGGATTTTTCCTAGAGAAAACACGAGAGGCTGGATATCAACCATGGAGAGAAATGTTGGTGATGTCCTCAAACATCAATGAACAGAATGAACAATTCTACCTTGTCATCTATAAGGAATTAAGAACCATTCCTGCTATTTGCTAGATAGGAAGGTTATTGTGTGTTGGCAACAGAATATTGTTGTCACTGAAAATGGTATATACATGTGTAGACATGTGGTGCACTTACAGTAAAAACAGTCGCCTACTTCTACCCACCATGATTATCATGGCCTGTACCACGTGTACTTGGGATAAGCAAAAAAAAAAAAACAATGGTATTTCCCATCACCATACATGTATATAAGTCAGACCAATAAAAAGCTATCATCACCTGTTTGACTTTCCCAAATCCTACATGTCACATCGAGGATGTAACAAAGGTCTATAACGAGAGAGTGTAGGAAGGTTATTGTGTATTGGTAACAGTTTATCGTTGTCACTGACAATGTTATTTACCATCACCATACATGTATGTAAGTCAGACCCAATAAAAAGCTATCATCACCTGTTTGACTTTCCCAAATCCTACATGTCACATCGAGGATGTAACAAAGGTCTATAACGAGAGAGTGTAGGAAGGTTATTGTGTATTGGTAACAGTTTATCGTTGTCAGTAAAATGGTATTTACCCTCACCATACATGCATGTAGTGGGGGTCGGTGGAATGATGGCCTCAACCGTTGGTTTTCGACCGCTACGGCCCGGGTTCAATTCCCGCGTTGGGAACTTTTTTCTAATTAAATAATGCTCCAATGGCCCCCGATTCCAACGAGTCCAACCCCACCAGCGAGTACAAGTAATCAAATCGGGGCTCTGGCATATTTGTAAGTGGAAAGTTGAACTGCTTTTCACATGTGTAGACATGTGGTGCACTTACAGTATAAGCAGTCGCCTACTTCTACCCACCATGATTATCACGGCCTGTACCACGTGTACTAGGGATAAACAAAAAAAAAAAAAAAAACCTATACAAGTCAGACCAAATAAAAAGCTATCATCACTAGTTTGACTTTCCCAAATCCCATATGCCATCGAGAGGATATAACAACGGTCTATGACCAGAAAGAGAAAACTGTAGTGTAGGAAGACTGTGATTGCTGTCGTGACAGACTCTCTAATTACCTCTCCGCATGACAAACTATTAATTTTGTACCTTTAAATATGTATGAGCGTCTCTTGGAATGTCTCTTGGTCGGTTTGTGGAGGCGTCACTATTTGTATAAAGTTGTTGTTTACAATCAGGAGTAATCGGTCAAAACAGGGATTCAGCACTGATTAGAGGTTGTTGGTTCTGTAACGGTAGACGCTGTCGTTCTAACAATAAAGAACTTAGCTCTAATCTTGAATGGAGTACTTACACTCATGGACAAAACTTAAGGAAATTGTATCTTTTAGCATGTATAACTCTGAAAGATACACTCATGGACAAAACTTAAGGAAGTTGTACTTCTTAGCATGTATATCGGGATTGAGAAAATAACTCTGAAAGATACACTCATGGACAAAACTTAAGTAAGTTTTACTTCTTAGCATGTATATCGGGATTGAGACAATAACTCTGAAAGATAAACTCGTGGAGACAAAATTTAAGGAAGTTGTACCTTTTAGCATGTATATTGTGATTCAGACAATAACTCTGATAGATATTACAGTGACCTTTATTGAAAATACACCAGATAATCAAGTGTGAAGAAAATTGTCTCTGTCTACTCAAAAAAAAAAAAAAATAATAAATAGATGACCGGCGATATATCAAAATATGAAACTTCGCCAAATTTTGTCCATCATTGTATTCAGTCTAAGTGACCTTCGTTTTTTTATTAATTTTTGTATAAATCTAACCCCACCAGTGAGTAAAAGTAACCAATAAGGGATTTGACATCTTGTAAATGCAAAAATCGAGCTGCTTTCTACATTGGTAGGCATGTGGCGTACTTACAAGAATCACTATTTACCCACCATGATTATCATGGCATGTACCACGTGTACTTGTGATAAGTAAACAAAAGCCACTAATGAGCTATACTACCCCAATATCTGTCTTATTAAAATAAATAATTTTGTAAAGTGCTGATAATTATCGCTTGCTTTTTTATCGAATCAATACTTTGTGTGCTTTTTTTTAATCATTCATTTTACCTAAAAGTTGAGAAAGATCAAGACCCGAAAGCTCCAAATAAATATATTTGAAAAAAAAAAACTAGCGGTAAGTCATTTCTTAAATTTTATGTCAAAATTGTGTGCTAAATTCCTAATAATAATAAGGCTTCTTTTAAACAACTCTTGAACCCAACAAAAAATCGTTATTTTTACAAATAATTCTTATTAAAATCCTGTAGTTGAGTATAGAGTTCTTTCGTTTTTGCTGATTCCAGTATTTCTACCTTCTTCCATAACATACGACGGCAATTTGAACCTAAAATTGAATGCAGGAGAATACCCTATGAACAATATACACTCATGGACAAAACTTAAGGAAGTTGTACCTTTTAGCATGTATATCGGGATTCAGACAATAACTCTGAAAGATACACTCATGGACAAAACTTAAGGAAGTTGTACCTTTTAGCATGTATATCGGGATTCAGACAATAACTCTGAAAGATACACTCATGGACAAAATTTAAGGAAGTTGTACCTTTTAGCATGTATATCGGGATTCAGACAATAACTCTGAAAGATACACTCATGGACAAAACTTAAGGAAGTTGTACCTTTTAGCATGTATATCGGGATTCAGACAATA